CCTCTCCCTCTACGCCGTCAACCCCACCGAGTCCAACATTATCCACCACTTCATCTTCCTCTCCTACAAGATCCCTCAGCAAGGTCTCGATGCCGCCGCCGGCGCTGAATCCGACGCGCCCGCGCAGTATGGAAAGGGTCTCTGGGATATCGCTTTCGTCTGCTTCTACGCCACAGTCCTCTCCTTCACTCGCGAGTTCATCATGCAGGAGATCCTCCGCCCGCTCGCAAAGTCCCTCGGCATCCGCTCCCGCGGAAAGCAGCTGCGCTTCATGGAGCAGGCCTACACTGCCGTCTACTTTGGCATCCTCGGCCCCTTTGGACTGTACGTCATGAGCCGCACGCCCGTCTGGTACTTCAACACCACCGGCATGTACGAGACGTTCCCCCACAAGACCCACGAGGCCGTCGTCAAGTTCTACTACCTGTTCGAGGCGGCCTACTGGGCGCAGCAGGCGCTCGTCATGCTCCTCGGTCTCGAGAAGCCGCGCAAGGATTACTACGAGCTCGTCGCGCACCACTGCGTGACGTTGGCCCTCATCGGCCTGAGCTACCGGTTTCACTTCACCTACATGGGTATCGCTGTCTACCTGACCCACGACATCAGCGACTTTTTCATGGCAGTAAGTTTCACTCGCAAGATACGTGCAAACCCCAAGTCGACGCAACGCAACTGACACAACCTCCTCTCCAGATGTCCAAGACTTTCAACTACGTTGACGCACCCATCACGGGTCCCTGGTACTGCCTGTCCCTCGCCTCGTGGATCTACCTCCGCCACTTCATCAACCTCAAGATCCTCTGGTCCATCCTCACCGAGTTCTCCACCGTCGGCCCCTACGAGCTCAACTGGGAGACGCAGCAGTACAAGTGCCTCCTCTCCAAGATCATCACCTTCAGCCTGCTCGGCCTCCTGCAGTCCCTCAACCTCTTCTGGCTCTTCTTCCTCGTGCGCATCGGATACCGCTACGTCTTCCAGGGCGTCGAGCAGGACGACCGCTCCGAGGCCGAGGAGTCCGAGGCTGAGCCCATGGAGACCATTGACGAAGTGTCCAAGATCGACGTCGCGCCCGTGGCGGCTGCCGCTGGTGGGGAGGCTGCGCAGGCTGTTGCGAACGGTGTGGCTAAGGCGGTTGGCGGGGGTGGCATCGCGTCACGAACCAGGAGCCGCCGCGCTGCGTAAGGCAGGGCAACTTTGAGGCGGTCGGAAAATGGGCTTGACGAATTCCTATGGTTCTGAGCTACCTGCGTACAACTTTTTGGGGGCGAGCATCCTTTTGCTCGGACTTTTGTACATGTATCATATCCTTCATTTTAATAACGCCTAATGTGTAATGACAACAAACATTGATCACCAATTTCATCCGATCGCATCCACAGTGACATTTGCGAATCTTCAAACAACTAAAGAGTCAACTAAGGACAATCAGGCGCGGCGGTGTAAGCCAGGCAGAATCACTCGGCGCTACCTATCTGGATTCATGATGTCATTGGACGTTAGACTTTCTTGGGCCAATACCCCGCGACAACACTTCCGCCAGATGCCGGAAGCGACGGGATTGAAGACGATTCCTCCTCCGGTTTAACAGCCTGTTGGAATTTGTTCGGGGGCTCCGGGAGTTGGTTCTGCATATTCGGGAGGGATGCTTACAGAATCTGCCATGGGAGAGCGAATCAAGAATCAGTCATGTGGGTTTTTGGTGGTGGATTTGATTTGGTAGAGGTGGTAGTGAAGGGTGCTTGAGGTGTTTTTTGGTGGCATGTGATTGGTATGATGATGAGCCTGCGCTGTAGCATTCGATGTAATTGATTAGCTATTTGATAGGAAGCTGGACGAAAGACTTTATGAATGATGTTAAAACAGATGGATTGACTGGGTGGTTTACTTGAATAGGACGAATTATTGAACGTTCCAAATACTCGCTCTCAAGATTGAGAGCGAAGAGTTGAGAGTGTTCGAACGTATCAAAACATAACTTCGATGTTGAATTTGAATCAACATTCAAATCACCATGAAAATTCGCAACTCCGCAACCACATGGCTAGCTGAAGCCGCAAACCATCAGAATTGAATATAGAGTCTTGGGAATTACTTGAAAGCTTTCAGTTAATTGGAAAAGATCTTGATTGGGGTAATGCTGAGCTATTCGTAGAATTCTCGAGGTTGCGACTAACAACCATAGAAGCACCAGAGTTAAGCCGCTCAGTTCGCTGAATGCAACACATATACATACAGGTAAAGATATATGGGAACGAATATAGATCAGATGGTGAACTTATGCAGACAAATTCCATGACATGATTGCGTCTTCATGTGAAGATGGAGTGACTCTACTGCTGTTGTCTCTCCCACTCCCATTGATCAACATCAAGTGTTGAGCCACACCAGCCCAGCCACAGACGCTGCCCCACCATCGGCTGCCGGCGTCGTCTCATGCCGGAGGCCATCCACGTGACCCTCCCACCACCCACACCGACGAGACGCCTGGCCCGAGCGTCAGCATTGGAGCTCCAGAAAAATTTCCAATTGACACCAGTGGGGGGAAAGGAAAAATTGAAGAAAAAAATCCGACTCTGGATACTTTTTTTCGACCTCTCTTTTTTTGACCAGCGCTGTCGACTCGCCTCTGCCCACCCACAATAACTTCCGCGAGGCTTGATTGTCCGGTCCCCCCTCCCGCGCCAACGAACATCAAGATCAGAGAGAGAAATAGACAGAGGTTTCCAAAATGGCGGCGATCAACTACCTCCTCTACGAGGCCCCCATGGGCTACGGTGTGTTCCAGATCGAGCACCAGCCCGACAGCATCGGCCTGCGCCAGAAGGAGGCCCAGGAGACCATTGCCGACCTCTCCAAGTTTGGCAAGATGGTCAAGCTGGTCAACTTCACTCCCTTTGAGTACGACTTCCCCAAATTCGCGAATTGAGTGCAGTGGTGGTTTTGGTGGTAGCTGAAGGCTGGAGGCTGGAGGCTGCGCGAAGGAGGGGATCTCTCGAAAGCGCGTCTTGGATGCGGGACCACAGCATTGGAGACAAGAACAAAGAACACCCTGCTGACAATACCCTTCTCACAGCACCGGAAAGCAGGCACTTGACGAGATCAACCACATCTCCGAGGGTCTCATGTCCGACCACCTCAAGTCCGTCCTCGAGCTCAACCTCCCCCAGACGAGCGGCAAGAAGAGCAAAATCACCATCGCCGTGGCCGAGAAGAACCTGGCCTCCGTGATCAAGAGCACCTTCTCCGGCATTGACTGCGAGACCTCTGAGACCTCCGAGGTCGCCGGCGACCTCCTCCGCGGCGTCCGCCTGCACGCCGACCGCCTCCTCAAGGGCCTGCAGACGGGCGACTCGACCGCCGCCGGCCTCGGTCTCGGCCACTCGTACTCGCGCGCAAAGGTCAAGTTCAGCACCACCAAGAACGACAACCACGTCATCCAGGCCAGCGCCACCGTCGAGTTCCAGGACAAGGGCGTCAACCAGTTCTTCATGCGCGTGCGCGAGTGGTACGGCTGGCACTTCCCCGAGCTCGTCAAGATCGAGTCGGACAACCTCACCTACGCCAAGCTCGTCCTCGCCATCGGCGACAAGGCCACCCTCACCGACGACCGCCTCCACGACATCGCCGCCCTCGTCGAGGAGGACGGCGAAAAGGCCCAGGCCATCATCGACGCCGCAAAGGTTTCCATGGGTCTCTCCATCACCCCCGCCGATCTCGAGATCGTCAAGGGCTTCGCCGAGGCCGTCGTCGCGCAGGCCGAGGCCCGCCGCTCGACCGCAAACTACCTCGACAAGAAGATGTCCATCGTCGCCCCCAACCTGCAGACCCTCATCGGCACTCCCGTCGCCGCCAAGCTCATCTCCCACGCCGGCTCCCTGACCAACCTGTCAAAGTACCCGGCCTCGACCCTGCAGATCCTCGGTGCCGAAAAGGCCCTCTTCCGCGCCCTGAAGACCAAGAGCAACACGCCCAAGTACGGTCTCATCTACCACAGCAGCTTCATCGGCAAGGCCGCGGTCAAGAACAAGGGCCGCATCTCCCGCTACCTCGCCAACAAGTGCTCCATTGCCAGCCGTATCGACAACTACACCGAGAACCCCAACACCAAGTTCGGCGAGGCCCTCCGCCAGCAGGTCGAGGACCGTCTCGAGTTCTACGCCACCGGCAAGAAGCCCGCCAAGAACTCCGACGTCATGGTAAGCCGCTGACTGCATTCTCTTGATGTTTCTCTAAATTACCATGCTAATATTCCAAAGGCCTCCGTCTTGGAGCAAGTCGAGGGCGACCTCACGCTCGACGACGCGGAAATGGTCGACGCCGTCGCCGAGGACGTCAAGAAGGAGAAGAAGGAGAAGAAGGAAAAGTCCAAGGACAAGAAGGAAAAGAAGGAGAAGAAGCGCAAGCGCGAGTCCGAGGTCGGCGCCGCCGAGCCCGAAAAGGCAGACGGCGAAAAGAAGAAGAAGAAGAAGTCCAAGTCCAAGGATGAGTAAAGAAGAAGAACGTCGGTTTCTGTACAACCCTCAGTCTTCTTTGCACATACCCCCATCTACCCCAACCTTGTTCCAAAAAAACTTCTCCTGGCTCTTTTTTTCAAACGTAGGTCTGGCGGCAAGTACCTTAGGCATCATTCCCGGCTCTTCTCTCTCTCATCTTGTTATGTATCTGTGGCTTTTTTTTTTCCCTGTTCCTTTTTTTCTGTTTTGGGAGTTTTATGGGGGGAAATGAGAGAAAAACCGGGCTTATTTGAACGGAGTTTTTGGGCTTTGAAAAAATGTTAATGCATCATTCTACAATATGTGTGTATGTACAGTTGAAAGAACAACCGAACCCATACCCCCAGAATCCCGCCTGCCCCTTGTTCGGTCTACCATGATGAGTGAATGTGGCTCAGTGAGAGTTCCATGATTGAGTTGTCTCTTGGCTTGGGTCTGACTTGACTTCAACAAGGGGCACCTAGTCCGCCAGAGACCCATAATTTCTTCAGGCCAAAAGCCTCCCGTTCAAGTATTCACTCCCACCCCTAAAATCCTAAATGATCCGGCCTCTCTCATCTTCATGGTAGGCCAACTTTTTAGATTGTACGCTGTATCGAGAAGGGGGCAGAATAGAGGTTGCAATGCAGTAGAAACTAGAAAAAAAGGAACAATAGACAAAAAAGAGTAATACGTTTGATATTTCCCCCAACCCAAAATGCCGGCCGTTTCAACGCCAGAGGACGCCCCCAACTCTCGACCACAGCCCATCCGCCCCCCGTATTCACCACCCGTACCATCCATCCCAAATAGTTTCTGTTTCTTTCCATTCTTTCGTTCTCATGTGAGATAATCTCCAAAGTCTTCTTCGAAATAAACACCGCCCCATTCCGTCCACAATAACCAGAGGACCCAGCTCATGCGCCCTCGCTACCGAACTCGTTTGTCCACTCTATTTGCTTGGCGGCATCGTCGTCGGAAACAGTGGGATGCGAGTCCCTCAAGGCCTGCTTGAAGTCCTTGAGCTCGATGATGGGCGCCATCAGCTCCTCCGAGTCGACGTCGTGATACGTCATCTCCTTGGCTTGGGGGTCGCCGGGCGAGCAAGGTGTCAACTTCTTCTGGCCCTCGTGAACAACCTAGACACAGTTAGCATCATTCCATCTATAGCACATGACAGAAGTCGAGGCAGCATACCGGCTTAAAGTGTGTGGCTTGGATAATCTTGCGAACGGGCCCCATCAAAGCCTGCTGCACCACGTTGGCAATATCACTGCCCGAGAAACCCTCCGACAGCTCGGCCAGGACGCGGTAGTCGTCCGCCTGGAGGTGTGTTTCCGTGTCGCCGACGGCCAGCTTGAACATGCGCGCGCGGCCGTTGACGTCGGGGAGACCAATGTGCACGCGGCGCTGGAAACGTCTGCGGATGGCGGCGTCGAGCTGCCAGGGGATGTTGGTCGCGCCCAGGACCAGGATGCCCTTGCTGTCGTTTCCGACACCGTCCATCTGCACGAGCAGCTCCGTCTTGATACGTCTTGACGCCTCGGACTCGCCTTCGCCGCGGGGGCCGCAGAGGGCGTCGATTTCGTCAATGAACAGGACCGAGGGCTTGTTCTCTCTCGCCATGCTGAACAGGGCCTTGACGAGCCTGTTTTGTTACGTTAGCGTACTGCTTGCGTGTTTGCGCAACCGATAATCAACTCACCTCTCACTCTCTCCCATCCACTTGCTTACGAGATCGGAACTGCTGACACTGAAGAATGTGCTGTTTGCCTCCGTCGCGACCGCCTTGGCCAGATAACTCTTACCCGTTCCAGGCGGGCCGTAGAGGAGAATACCCTTCCACGCCTGACGCTTGCCCTGAAACAGTGACGGGAACTTGATGGGCAGCACGACGGCCTCCTTTAGCGTATCTTTGGCGCCCTCGAGACCGGCGACGTCGTCCCACCGTACATTGGGCCGCTCCTGCAGGATGGCGCCGCTGAGAGCGTTGCGCAGCTTCTTGTTGTCCTCATCGCCGTCGTCAGCGCTCCCCTTACCCTTGCCGCCGCCATTAACGCCCACGGCACCGGGTTTGTTCCCGCCCCCGCCGCTCTTTTTACTCTCCGCTTCGTTGAGGTATGTTTTGAGCTTCTCGGCGCGGTCCATATACTCGGCCGTCTTCTGGCGGATGAGCTCCTTTGACTTTGGGTTCTTTTCCCACTTGACGGCAAGGACGAAGAGCTCGAGCGACTTTGTGTATAGTTGAAAGGCCTTGTCGTACTCGGCGGCGTTATCGGCATCGATGGCCTGCTTGACCGTGCTAATGGCACGGCCGAGGAAGTCGGTGATTCCCGACATTGTTGGCTGTGAGTTGGCTTTTGTTTCTCGAGGAGCTCGGCGATTAAGCGGCGTGGAAGAGGTCGGATATCGTGAGAAGGTGGAAAGAGCGGGGAAAGCTCTCTCGGTGTGAACGTCGTCGTGTTCGTCCGCGCCTTTGGCTAATCACTTCGGGATCGGATGTCGGAAGATGGAAGAATCGGTAGGGTCCCGAGGAGGTCGTCGGTGCCTGGCGCAAACGGGTGGAGGGTTGGAAGTTTGGACGGGTGAGGAACCTTGAGGAAGCACTTGTGGGCTTGGATTCTGTGACGTTGCCTGGGCAGTTCGTGATGGATCGCTGCGCTAATCGGGGTGCCTTGGGCAGGTGGTGGGGGTGGGGGACTTGTCTGGGTTACATGAAAATATGTGTTTAGATGTATCAACTGTATACATGCATGACGCTTTCACGGCCACCAGTCGAAGGCTATGCGGCCAAATATGACATAGCATAAAGGCTGAGAGGTAAGCAAAAGGAAAAGAATGATGCAAATTAACTTACTGAAAATCTCGCATTGAACGAAAAAAAGAAAGATTTTTGACTCACAAAAAGCTTAAGTGTTTCGCATCCTCTGAGACTTACTTCCCGCCGAGGCCCGTATACCTGCCAAGTGGGTTGCTTAATATTCGACTAAACGGTATTCCGACTGTCTGTCACCACATCGAATGCTGAGTTGAGGTACCAAGTATCTTCTCGCAGACCACTGCGCAAAAGTCGAAACAGAACGAATTATTTCTCAGAGCCTTGGCATTTTGGCGGCATCTGATTCACACACTCATCTCATTACAACATCGTTGGACTGATCTGCGGCATTGTTTCCGACGTTTTCGCGCTCCGGCCAACTCATTAGTTTGCAATTTTCACACTCACCTCCAGTGAACCCCTCACACTCATACTCATACCCCAACCATGGCTGAGGTGCAAGCAAAGCTGCAAAAGCTATCGGAGGAATACCAGGCGCTGCAACAGGGTACGCGATCGGAAACAGGCAATTAGGAGCGAAATCTTTACTCACGTCTCATCAGAACTTCAGACCACCGTCCAGTCGAGGCAAAAGTTGGAGGCTCAGAGGCAGGAGAACCTTGGCGTAAAAGAGGTAGGCGAGCCTTAGGAACTGAAATTCACGACCACAAGGCTGACATATTTTTCAGGAGTTTGACAAGCTCAAGGATGGCGAGCAGATCTACAAGTTGGTCGGCCCCGTGTTGCTGAAGCAGGATAAGGTGGAGGCCGAGAGCACAGTCAAGGGCCGTCTGGACTTCATCACCAAGGAGATGTACGTGCATCACAAGTGATTTTCATCCAGCAGACTTTATTCACTGAAATTTACCAGCGAGAGACATGAAGGATTGATCAGAGACGCCCAGGGTAAGCTGGAGAAGAAGAAGGGCGACATCATCCAAATCCAGACCAGCGCACAAGCTGCGGCGGCTCAGGCACAGAAGGCATGATCAGGGTGAGGGCAACAGCAGTGGATGAACGGGATCAGGAAAAGAAAAAGGCAAACAAGATGAAGGTCTGATGAGAGTGGTGATACAATTAAAAAGCTACCAGGACTATGAACTATACCCAACAATGCTCCGATAAGATTCCTTTACGAAAACGCCATGCTAATGCGACCCTATCCCGGCGGCGATACCCTCGCCACGCGAGATCCCAAAATGTTTCATTACAGCAGTCATGATCATCTGCACCATCTTACCCTCTTAGTTGAGGGCCATAATGGAAAAGCCCCACGGCAAACCCATGTTGCGCGCGGGCAACTCGGTCGCCCAGCCAATAGCGTTCTGGTACTCGTCCTCGGACGTAAACTCCGCGTCGTTGACTTTACCCTCGACGGCGCCCATGATGAGGTCGGCAATCTGGCTGGTCGTGTAGCAGCGCCCAAAGATGCGGCTCTCCTCAATGGTGCGAATCATGGCGGAGCGGAGCTCGCACTCTGCGAAGCGCTGGACCTCGCGGTCGAAGCTGGCCTGCGTGACGGGGCCCTGGTGGTGCGCGGCGAGTTTCTGGAAGAAGGCGACCATGCCGGCGATAGCCTGGGCGAGCATGTGCGCCTTTGTGGCGTCGTCGAGGTAGCTGGCCATGGAGGAGGAGTGCTGCTCGATGAGGCCGTGGACGTCGTGGTCAAAGGTTGCGTGGACGACCTTGGAGATGCTGTCTGGGGTGGAGAGGATGCCCTCTGCGTCTTGGATGGCGAAGGTCTTTGCGATTTCGGCGTAGCATTGGGAGAGGGTTGTCCAGAGGGAGACGTTGTTTTGGACCGAGGCCTTGCCCATGCTTAGTGTGAAGTGGGACATTGTGCTGTCGATGCTTTCTGGGCGAGTTGTTAGTTGCTGGTATGATTCTGTGTTGGGTAGGGCGGCTTACTTCTGCAAGTGGTGGAAGACATGATGGCGGTGATGTATGTGAGGTCTCACGATGATTTGGTGATGAGGTTGTAGATGGAGTAGATGGACGTAACACCGGTATTTGTGACGAAGATGGATGAAGATAATCAAGCAGATCTAAGAAACCTCACCATCAACAAAGGCGGAAAACTTCTCCTTTAATCTCGACTGGATTGTAGCCTTGTGGCCTCATCGGGAGATTCTTCCATGTCCAGCCAGGATGGCTCAGATGGTGGCCATCCCTGAATCTGCCATGGCCGGACGGACGAACACATGGCAAGGACTAGTCGACATTGGGTCCCCAGTCTTTGCGGGAGATGCCCGGCGGCGACCCCCATTTGGCATCAACACTTGCGAATTGCAAAAGCAAGGCGGGAAAAAAAAACAGGAGCTCGAGTGCGGTCATGTCCTCCACATTCCCGCAAAAACATCAAGCCATCTCGCCGTCAGATTTGGGTTGGATGGCAAGATGCGATAGCTGATAACCTGACGACTCGGCACCGCCACGGCCGCAACTTGAGACAATGGAAGACGAGGTATCGTCCGCCACAGTAACAACAAACAGGGACTTGAACATTCAGTCTCCAGACCGCTAATGATCTATCTCACTTTGGCAGCTGGATGGCTCCCTCGCTCACCGGCGACCAGCGGAAAGAAAAAATAGCGTGGGGGGCAAGCCGTGTATTCGACTCAAGCAACGGGAAAACATGCACGTCAAGCAACATGCGACCCGGTTCAAGCAGGCGGTGGAAGCAGTCGAGCATGGTGCCATGTTGAGACCCGAGCCGCAAGAGGATCAATGCGGATGGAACCAGGGAACGTCAGGAACGGCTTCACCGGCCCGCCTGGGCGCAATTCGGGTTGCTTTGGTTTTCCTACCTTGCCAGCTTGCCAGCTTGGTTGGATAATTACCTTATTCGTGGTAAAGCTGAGTGGTTGGCGAAAAAGTAGTACGAAAAATTGGGCGCGTTCCGACATTTTCCGATCTTGGAATGAGGCGAGCGTCTGGCCCCCTTCCAACCTTGCTCGTCGGTGTCCGTTGGGTTGGCGGGCAAACGAGAGAGCTCTCGTAAATCGAACGGAAATACGGGCGAAGTGACGTCTATGTACAGTTTGTGTTGTAGCTCGATGAGGCCCTGATGCTTGAAATTTTCATTGCATCGTGGCAATGCGATGGATCATGGAAGACTTCGAATTTCTAGTTCATCTCGGATTCCCAGCTCAGTGACATTCATTCTTGGAGTGGATCCGAGACATTGGTCCGGATCCTCCCGCAAATGACAGCTCAACAAAGCGTGAACCCTTGCTGTTTCTCACCTTGGATTGCCTTTGTTCACCACTCTCGGTGACTATGATGACATAAGGTGACCTTCGGTGAAAGCTCGATCACGTGTCCATCACTTTGTCCACGTGATGCACGTCTGAACGGGGCCCGAGCTCTCTCCCGTGCCCCTCCATTTGGTGCGGACCTTGTCGGTTCCCCCCCCATCCATGGCGGGGTGCTGCTGGGCGTGTGCTTCAGGCTTCAGCCTTCAGCCACTCGTGGCTCCTCTAGCGCTTCGTCATACGGTCCCTGGGACGAAACTCGCAAGACGTCTTTGACCAAACGGTCACTCGCTTGCTACCTCAAGGCTGCCACGCTTGGCCTTTTGTTCTGAGAAACATGCCAACGTCTCCCTGAACGGTGTTTGTCACCACCAGCGACCGAATATCCAACGAGACACTCCCGAGCTTGAACAGCCACTACACAGCGAAAGCCGGACCGGAGAGCTCCAACTCCTCCGACACCACCAAGATGAACGGCCCTTCGAGTCCCAGGCCCGCGCGGCCCATGAGCATCAAGGAGATTACCCTAGCAGCAGAGGATTTCGACTTTAGGACTACAATTCCCTTCAAATACTGGGCGCGATCTGCAGATACCTTGTTTCAAGAGGTTTGTGCCCCATTTCGGTTGTTCGTTTGCCTGCGCAGCGATCGCTAATGACAATGCGATTTAGGCGACCTTTGCGCTTCAAGATCGCGACATACGAAAAGCATACCAGATGCTATGGCGACACTCGATACTAGTCCTTACTCACTTGAAAACACATCCCGACGCCAAGTTACCCGAAAACAAGGCGCTCACGAAGCCGCTGTTCGATCGCCAGAACAAGGAGGTTTTCGGGCTACTGGAGGAATTGAAGCCGCAAATCGACCGCGATTACAAGGAGTGGCAGTTGATGAGTGCTTCGAAGCAGAGTGAAGATGACGAATTCACCACCAGACCCACAAGTTACAACGAGTTTGCTGCTCGAGACCCGACCTTATCCGGAAACGCCAAGATCCTCGACGCCGCCGATAACCAGGAACTCGCAGTGTCTTTGGCGCAACGAGACTACAAGAGGCGAGATGCTGCAAGGAGAGCGACGCGGCAGGCCGGCGTTAGCGCCGAAGAAGAGCAGGAGCGCCGGAAGGGTGGCCGCTGGGAGGACTGGGAGCAATTCAGCAGCCCAGCGACGGCCGCATCAGAGGAGGAAGACATAAGGCGACAGATCGAGGCGACACGGCGTCGGCTCGATGGAACTGACGGGGGAAGGGACGAAGATACCTTCAGCACTTCGCAAGCTCCGAATTACCAAGGCCAGGTACCCCCGCCGAGAGCTCCTCCCAGCTACTCATACAACTACCCGTCTATATCAAGACCAAGGGCGCTGGAATGGGAGGCGTCGCCTTTGGAACCGCAGCGCGCTTACACGCCGCCGCCGCCTCAGCCACCGAAGCCGCCAAAGGAGGATTTCACGATGATGCGTCAGGAGCTCGATGCGGCACCTCCTATGAGGCCAAGCAAGGAGCCATTAACGTCCTATAGGCCGCCGTCAACAGCCAACACGCTACAGGGAGGCGTTCCGGAGTTGCCAGCCAAAGAGGAGGTGATGCCACCGGCGGCAAAGGAGCGGCTGGCCTTCAAGCCAGCAGCCTATCTGGAGAATGGCGACCCTATCCGACCCGTGTTCCTCCCGACGCAGCTCAGGGATACCTTTCTCAACATTGCATCCGACAACACTCGCAGAGGCCTCGAAATGTGCGGTATCCTCTGTGGACGACCCGTTAACAACGCACTGTTCATCAGCTGCCTTCTTATCCCCGAACAAAAGTGCACGCCGGATACGTGCGAAACGGAAAACGAATCATCAATGCTGGATTACTGCATCAATGAGGATCTTTTGGTGGTGGGCTGGATTCATACGCATCCCACGCAGACGTGCTTCATGAGCTCGCGAGACCTACACACGCAGGCCGGGTACCAGGTTATGATGCCAGAGAGTATCGCCATTGTGTGTTCTCCAAGGCATTCTCCATCGTAAGTTGCACCCATTTCTTCGCACACATGACAACGGCTAACGCAGCATCAGATATGGCATCTTCCGCCTCACAAATCCGCCAGGCCTGCCTCACATCCTGCAGTGCACGGCATCGGAAACCTTTCACCAGCACTCCATCGATAACCTGTACACCGGAGCGAAAAACCCGCCGGGTCATGTTTACCACTCGGAGAAGCTTGACTTTTACGTGAAGGACTTGCGACCGAAGAGGTAAAGGAGGAACCGACATGTTTGCCTTGATGGCGAATTACAGAGCTACTAGCCCGTTCAGCTCAGGGCGGTCGGCATAATCGATGAACTGCTGCCACTCTTGATGACGTATCAGTGGTGAGAGATGTATGGAGCAACACTGTTGCAGTCTGCAGTTCAAGTATGGGTTCCGGGCTACCTTTTGATTTGTTGCATGGCGAGGGCGTTGGACAGCTGATAGCTATGGGGTGCGGGCATGCTCATCGAGCAACTCAGCTGGGACGAATGATAATGTCGGGACTCCGCGGACTGTACAATGCAGAGCCACATGGCAGTACGGTCGAACAATGTCACGGCTCAATGTGATGAGGAGCACGGCTGGACGTGTCTCATCCGAGCTCGAGGCCCAGACCGTGGTGGGCCATCCAACCTCAGATAGCCGAGAGGGAGAGTTGTATGAGCTTTTATCTCATGAACCCTTTGCTTACTATGTAGGTGCTGGGACAAGCAAGGCCCTCTCAGAGTTTCGCAAGAAATGACTGAAATGAAATTCCAAATTAGGCCAGAGCGCTGTGTCTTGCATTGTCCGTCCCATGATTTTGATCGTGTCCTGTCGAGTTCACCTCCCACTCTCCGGAAGACTTTGGCCGGGTGTCGTAGCTCGGCGAACCATGACGTCACTGCCGCGGTCTAGCGACTTCTTCTACATGTGAGCTGAGGAACTCACTCTCATTCTTCATATAAACACCAACGATTTCTTGCACGCCACATTGTCACGAGAAGAGGAATCTCTCACAAAAAAGATACGACCAAAACATTACGTCGGAAAGGAAAGCAAACCAACAACGAACTACAGAATGGCGTTCCCGACAAACATGCTGGGCATCCTCATCGCCCTCGTCAGCGCGTTTGCCCTCGTGCACTCGGCGGACTCGATTCCCCGACTACTCAAGTACGAAGACAAGGCGAAGAAGGCGGCGGAATGGAGCAGGACGGCCGAGAAGCAGCTTTGGGAAATCAGATATACTGTCGGAACAGGCTTCGTTGGGGTACGTCCCGCCCCCTCTCTTACATCACTTCTCCCCCTCCCACTCACTCTCTCACACTCACACTCACACTCACACTCACACTCACACTCACACTCACACTCACTCTCACTCTCACTCTCATTCTTACTCTCACTCTTACTCTCCACAAAAACCATGATGTACTGAACACCATCTCCCGCAGTGCCTCGTCTCCGCCATCGGCGGCATCGCCTTCTCCCTCGTGGTACCCCGCGGCCTGGGCATCTTCACCGTCGGCTTCCCCATCATGCTCGCCGCAGGCCTGACGTACGGGCACCAGTACATGCGACAGTTCTGGGCTTCGAAGCCCAAGGTGCCGATGATGAAGGATTTCAACGAGGCGATTTCGGACTCGATGATGGTGCAGGATATGATGAATCCCTTGGCTGGCGCGTGGGGTCTCATGACGTTTTGCAAACTTGTTGGGCTGTAGATGGGCTATCGTCGAATCCTAGTTTCTCGCCGGTTGAGAGTTTGACTGCACAGCGCTGGTTTGTTGTAGTGTAGACCAATTTGGGTCCTCGGCATAAAGCATCGCATTAACGGCGTTTTGACTGTATCAATTCATCTCATCATACGCATCACGCCCTCGCATCCCTCCTCATATAAACCCACGAATACCGCCCCCAAAACTCCTCGCTCCCCGTGACACCTGCCAACTTCCCACCAGGCTTCACTCCGCCCGCAAACTCATCCAACTCCGCCTCCAATCTGCCCACCTCGCGGAACCCCTGCCTCTCAAACGCCTTCTGCCCGCCCATGGACGACTGAACCCAGCAGTACACGCCCGGCTCGCGATCCGCCTTATCGGTGCCCCACTTCATCAGCGCCGAGCCGACGCCGCGGCCCTGGTGCTCCGGGGAGACGACGTAGGTGCACAGGAACCTGCATTTGCAGCCCTCGGGCATGAAGCGCTTGACCCAGTGGTTCATTGATGCGTTTGTTAATTCGCCGAGGTCGTCTATCGTCTTGGTTCTCTGCTTCTGCTCCGCGTCCGTGAAGAAGGTCTCGGGCTGGGGTTCTTCGTCCGGTCCGTCCAGCGGGAGGTCAGTGTCGCCCGCGAACCCTCGTCTCACCCACCCGACCCATCCCACAGGCCCGCCGTTTGTCGGGTCCTCGGCGACGATTACATCGACTTTGGGGTGCGCGATCCAGGCTTGCAGCGCGTCTTGCATGCCCTTGGGAAAATCGTCGTCGCCGCGGATGGAGGCTTTGAGCTGGGTGTGCGAGTCCGTTTTGCAGGCTGCGTCGGAGATGGATGCGAGGGCGGGGATGTCGGCTTCTGTTGCGGGGCGGAGGGTTACGGTGGCTTTGGCGGGACGGGAGGCCGCTGCTGTGGTCGGTGCCGTGGCGGTTGCCGGTGCCGGTGCGGCGGAGGTGGTGGATGGGGAGGATGCCATGGCTTTGCAGGAGCTTGGCGCTGGGGTGTCGGGCGATGGGATGAATGACGGACGCCGGGTGCGGGGACTTGAAGGGCTTGGCACGGGGTGAGGATGTTGTAAAGGGGGGAATGACGGACGGGGAGGGCCGGTCGAGGTGCTTTATTTTGCTTGGGTTTGGGACCTTGGGTTTGTTCATGCTGTATGCTGGGTAGCCCCCGGGTAAGCTGACCGGGTGACTCAACCGGGGAGTGGAGGGCCGGCATTCCCGATACGGATGGTGGAAGACAGAGAGATAGGACTTGGGAGCAGTTTGTTGATCAATTCGATACATTCTGCACACACATCTAATTACGTGTAGTAAGGTAAGTCATATGAAGCTCAAATCCGTCGAATCTATTTAGCAACATATTATCAGAGCCATGCCTTCACTACCTAATTACTACCAGGTGCATGTAAACTTAGTACCGTAAAGCACTTGCAATTCCTATGCGTTTTTCTCTTCTCGTAGTAGCGCACATGTATGTGCATCTAATACTACTCGTGCTTCGCTCTAAGTGGCTGGATTTACAGCACTCATTGTCGATGACGACGCAGTCGCATTGGAAGACCCCCAGACCATTGGAATATATGGTTCGTGAGTGATCGGGGTCGCGTCCTCGAACGACGTCGGTAGCGGCATCGGACTGGGGTAGACCACTGTCTTCGTCTTCGTTGCTGGGTCCGCACTCGTTGGCGTGCCAGACTGTGACGACGGTGCCGCGATCTTGCCCAGACCCGAACCTTTACATGAGATTTTTGGCCCTCCTGCAGATACGATGGCACGCTCAACACAACCATCCGCCATGAAGAATGGCAGATAGAAATGGACTTGAGCCCCTCTGGTGCTTGTGGCCTCTTCCCAGTTCCAACCTGTCATTGCACCGCAGCCGCCTTCTTCTTCCTTGAGCTTCTTCCCGCCATCGGTCACCCAACCCTCGATGTTGTAAATCTCAAACTGCCAGGCTACGAGGGAATCCCAGAACGCGCAGTCCGCCGTTGGTGTTGGAGTTGGAACTGGGTCTGGAGTTGGCTCCGGAGCGGGAGGCGGCGTTGAGGTTGGATCTGGCGTATCGTCGATAGGCTGATCCCCGTCGGCTGGGTCTAGGTTGTCTGCCGGATCGGAGCAGTCCTGTCCTACGAGAGCACAATTATCCTCGTCGTCATTCCCGCATCCTAGATATAGGAAGGCGCTCGGATCCAAGAAGCTGCCTGCCGCTGCTCGGCGCGGCGTCTGAGAAAGACCGGTGCTGACATTATGACTAGTTTTAGCCGGAGGAGGAGCAGCACCGACGGGGTTCAAGTGGTAGGGGGCAGGCACAACCATTTCCTCTGGTCCCTCGTCCTCTGGCTCGTCGATTGTTTCAAGCCGTCCGTCCGATGTCGTGATGTTTGCCCCTTGTCGTGCGAGCTCCTGTACCTCGGCAGGTGTGAGCTCTGTCAGGCCACGTTTTGCCCCACGTATGCTTCTCCTCATCATCGCAGGACCCGAGTAGCCCGGATAGTTATCACATGAATACCACTTGTTGCCTCTAACACGGTTGCGGCGCACAACATTTGGGTGCGGTTGCCACGCATTGGCTTGATCATCCCAATAGGATTTTCCGGGTGCTGGATACTTGCAATAGAAGCTCGGCAACTGGTTCGTAATAGTCTTGACGGTCACACCCTTTTTGTCCACATTGATCCTCGTTGTTTTATCAAAGAGCTTATTGTCCCACCAGGGGTCGTAGGATCTCTCTCCTGCGTTCATCTGGGAAACATGGTTGACGAAAAGGAATGGGACTCCATATGGCCTCGCACAGATGTTGACCCTCTTAGCTTCGTTCTGGTTGTCCGCGTCAACATAGAAGTCGGCATCACTCGTTCCCGAGGGGCCATTAGTGAAAGAAACAGAGAAAATGAGGCCCTTGGCTTGCTCCAAGCTGTTCCTGCCCTGTTCCTTGTACCAGTCCTGGAGAAAATTGCCATGGTCGCCGTTTTCTGTTGTAGGTATAAGACGTAAGACAGACTGCTCATCCCATCTCTTGAGATTAGGACTGCGATTCGGGTTTCCGCTTCCCCAAGGGTATTCTTCGACTTGGCAGCCGAAAAGACCCCAACCCTCCCCTTTAGCATTAGGCGCTGATTTAGGGTTGGTGGGAGAGTACATCCCAGGCCCCGATTCCCACTTGGACCTGTACCACGGCTCTGTGATTTTCTCCATGGCCCCAACGCGAGCATTGGTGCCGGCGTAAGTCATGATTGGAGACTTGTTGCGACTGACAATGGCAGACTGGGCATTGGCGCAGACGTTTGGCCATCTGCTGTAGTCGCAAGTGAACACAGAATGGTAGAGACCGTTGCTTGGAGGGTTGTTGGGATAGTCAGGGTCGACACCACATGCCGCCTGTCTTCGCTCGAGGGGTGACTGACGCTTAGCTGCAGGACAGCAGGTCTGTGATTTCAAAGCATCGAGAACACTCTGGTCTAGGTCTTTGTCGAGGTTCTTCTGGCACTCAGTCATGTAGTCCGGCGCCTCGTCCGCCGCGTGGTCGCATGACACCGTGAAGGAGAGCGGATCAAAGACGGGATAGTTGCCATTGTGACATGTTCCGGTGGTTGTGATGACATCTTTCTGGCAAACCTGATTCCCTTCAGAATCATAATCAGGCTTCTTGCTTCCGCACGAAGGTCCGATGCAGTCTCCATCTTCACCACTGGTGCCCCCTCCCACGACAGTCCACTCGGGACCGCAGCCGGCGCAGATACCTCCACAACCCAGGATGCCGCATGAGCTACAACCAATAAGACAGATCTTTCCACATCCGACGCTACAGGTTGGCCCTGGCGGGCTGGTGCTTGTGAAGCTGACTTTTGTTGGCTGATTGGTAATGACGGGGTATGTCTTGCTGGCCACGGGGGTTGATGTGATGATGATGACGACAGGATCCTGGGACGTGGTTTTCGTTGCACTGACTTTGGGCGTAAAGGTCACTTTGGCCGTGGGCAGAATGGAAGGTGTGATGGTGTATGTCACTTGATCGACGCCGGAATTGGTGATGTTGATGTTGTAAACGGGGATTTCCGTCGTGGTCACTGGGGGAAAAGTAATAGTAACGACAGTTGTCGTAGTTGTATCGTCATCCCACATTTCTGTAAAGGTCTTCGTGATAGGGGGAAACTCGATCGTCGTCTTATCAGAGAGGGTGTAAGGCGGCAGAACCACCACACAAGGGGGTATGCAGGAGACGATTGGTGTGGGATCGTGCCAGACTGACGGGTTGATATAAACTGGAGGCCCTCCACCCGCGCCCCCATCACCGCTCGTGTCTCTTGAAACACAAGCTCCGGGGGGACAGTAGCCTCTGGGGCAGGCAAAGGCGCAAAGCCCATAGTCCTGAGTGCCTTCCACGGGGCTTCCCGCCACTTCGTCAACGATGGGCGGTGTCTCAACCAAGCCTCCCGTGCTGCCACAAGTACAAATGTTTCTCGGACAAAAACCAAAAGTGCATGCGTAGCTGCAGAGACCTCCGAAATTCCCAGGTCCTGTGCCGCCCGTGCAGGCGGTTGGTGAAAAAGGGGACACTGATGGCGTGGTAAGGGGCCCTGGCACTGTGTCGCAAACACCCTCTGGGCAATATCCTAGGTTGCAGTCAAAGTTGCAGAGTCCGGAAAAGTTTTCGTTGAGACCGGCTGCCGGATAACCGGTGATGCCAGAGGATTTCGGCTTGACTCTCTGCTTTCCCATACTAAGACATGATTAGTATAACTTGCTCAAAGTGAGAAGAAAACAAAAAACTTACGCGGTACAAAGGCAGGCGCCTAACGGGCAATATCCCAGCGAACAAGCATACGAACATAGACCAGAGAAATTGTCGATGGATGTGCCATTGATGCACACCAGGTCGTCCATGGATGTTGGCGTTGGATCGGCGGCAGCACCACCGGTAGCGGATCCGACCCAGGCATTCCAGTTAGCCAGGCCTCCAGCACCGCATTGAGTTGAAATAGCCGAACCAGAGCCAGAGAAACT